ATTCAACTAAAAGATTTTTTTTTAAAAAAAAAAGGAAAAATTACTGTTGGAAATTCGTAACAATGCCGAATGGGCGGACTTGGAGAGCGCAAATTACGAAAACCTGTATAATGGGAATGCGGAAGATGTTGCATAGATGACAAATCAAAATCCCATTTTTCAGTTGGTGAAAGCTATAAATTATAAATTAATTATTCATATAAATATAAATATGTCATGTAAAGAGAGGAAAAGGAAAAGAGAGAGAGAAAAGAAAAATGAATAATAGTCGGATAGCTTATCATTTCTTGGATATTATATATTACACTAATCGTCATCACTGCTTCGGTAATAATATCACTTATGGTTTCTTTATCAGTAATGATAACACTGAATTATCAGGCTTAGAAGCATTGTTAGTTATTTTACTCTATTATTATTATTACTAATTATTAATGAATAAGCATTGAATCCTTAAACTGTTTTCTTAAAAATAAAAGTTTTTTTTCAAATTAATATCATTTGAACTAAAAATTCATTCCAACTGCTGAATACAATTTCTTTTACTAATCACTGTAATATATTTGAAATGTTTCATTTATTCATTATTTATTATAAAACTATGTAAATTATTATCAATTTACTTATACAATAAATAAAAATATATGAAATGTACAAATTTAATTTCACTTCCACTGATAACAAAACCAATACGTAGATTTTTGCTTGGAATAACTTCTTGCAATGAACGTCGTAATAAGCCACGCGGTACAGTAATTACAAGTGGTTGTTTATCTTTCATGTTTTGCTATTTTGTTAAAAACTTTTTTTAATTTTTATTCGCACACACATTTATATAACTCTGCTAATAAAAAAATAAAAAAGAGAAAATTTTCGCCTTTTACTGATTAAAAAAAAAAAAAATTATATGCAATAATTTTAGTAGCAACCATATAAATATTATATTAATATTATTTAAAAAAATCATACAGTGAATGAATGAATTTATTATTTTGAAAAATCATATAATGAGCAAATGAATGAAATAATTGTTATTATTTTAAGCAATCTATAGTGAATAAATGAACTATTTTTTCGATAAATAAAAAAACAAAAAATGTGAATTTTTTCGTAATATTTTCTTATTACCGTTCGTTTCATTCGTGATGGACCTTGTTGATTCATAATAATTTGAAGTCAGCTATATATAAATATGTACGGAAACTTTTTAATTAATCAATTCCTGTATACTGGAAATGATTATTGGTGAATACAAAATTACAACAAATAACATTACAATGCTATAAAAAAAAGGAAGTTGAAAGAAATTTTATCATCGGTAAGTAATTACATTTTCATTTGAATTGTTATGATTATCTATATGAAACTTGGATAAAATTAATTTAGCTAACTGTTCATTGTTCATTTATAACCACTAATTAAGCGCAATTAATCAATCTGCTAAATCAATTTTTAGTTTAACTTTGATTAAAATTGACTTTTAGAAAAATAAAAGAAAAACTAGGTTAATTTTTTTGTGGACAATTTTTTATTATCGTTTGCTTTATTTGCTGTCAATTTTTGATTTTAAATTTAATTGAAACTAATCGAATTAATTGCTAATTGTATCATTAATCTTGATTTGACTAAAATTGATTGTGCTAGCTGGTAATTATTAATTTATATTATCTGAAATTAATCTTATCTACCAGTTTATGTTGGTTTGAAGTTAATTGAAAGTGAAATTTAATTAGCTACCAAATTGCTAATTTAGACTTAACTGAAATTGACATAATCAAATATTAACTATTTGGCTAGATTTGACTAAAATTAATCTGACTAGTTGCTACTAATTATTGATTTAGACCTGGCTAGAATTAACCAAACCTGCTACTATTGTTTATAAATTGCCAATTATTAATTTTCAATTGGCTGAAGTTGATCAAAATATTTGCTAAATGTTGTTTTAAATTTGATTAAAATGACTGCTAGTAATTGTTAGCTTAGTTTTGATTGAAATCAGCTCAATAGCAACAAATTCATTAATTTATGCTTATGACTGAAATCCATATAATTAATTGATAACTACTGTGCTAAGACTTAAGTAAAATTAACTAAGGTAGTGCTTTACTGATTATTAATTGTTTGATTTAAAAGCCAATTTAGAGAGTGAGAGAAAGAGAGAGAGATAATTGATGATTTTCAGATTTAACTGTAATTAAACAACTGGCTAATAGTTGTTGGTTTAAACATAATTTGAAATTGATATAACCAATGCTTAATCAGCCGCTAACCAGATTTACAAGTATCAATGAATAATTTATAAATTATTAATTGAATCATTTTATAGTCATCAGTTTTTCTTTTTTTTGGCATATTAAATTATATACGAATATTTCAAATATTCAATGGTATAATGGTTTGATCTTTTCTTTTTTTTGAGCTGACTATAATTAAGAAATTTGATGAGAAATAAACTTCAGAAAAGTTTCTTTTTTTTTTTTTAAATTCGTCACTCTGCAAAGAATTTAATTTGAAAGAAAAAAAAAAAAGATTTGGACGTTATTGAAACGAAACTAATAGACCAATGAAAAAGAATCAGTATTAAATATCAGTTTGGAATAGAATTGGAAATGCTTTAAAGATTTGGCGAAAACTTTTTTCTGATAAATGAATTCCACAAAAATATTTAAAATTTGCAACTTAGCAAAAATATGTATGAATCAGTTATGTAAATGGAAATTTGAGAATGCTGGAATAAATATTAGCTTATGTAAAATGAAACATTCGCAAATACCGGAACAGAAATTTATAGGGTTAAGTTATGCATAAGCTAAATAAGTTATTGTAAATTAAGTAATCAGAAATATCAGAACAAAAATGATAAACGAATCAATTATGTGAAATTAAAAACAAAAGAATCAAATTTTAATTTATTTATCAATCAATCATTTTCATAAATTTAATTATGCATGCATTATATATTTTTTGCCACACAATTACATCGCAAAAATAAAAAGCTTTTTACTGATTTTTAAATTTTGAATCATTTATAAACATTTGTTAAATTACTTTTCATTAACACTTAAAATATTCTATAAATCTTTTTTCTTATAGTAATAATCATATTTGACTTCATAATTATGGTAAAATTTTAGTAAGTAGAAAAATTTTTTAATATTAAAACATATAATATAATCGCTTCAGATTTCTTTATTTTAAAAAAAAGGAAAAAATTTAATTTCATTTCATTTATATATTCTAAATACAAATTAAAAATTCTCACTTAAATAAACATTTGTTTTTATTTTACTCACTTAAAATTAAAATGCATTTCTTAACAGCATCAGTTTATAATTTATACATATTTGTTTTAAATTATGATTAATACAAAAAAAATAAATCACAATTAATTAGTATCTGTTAATACCTTTTTTTAATGTAATAATATCTTAACGATATTACTTTTACTGAATGATTTCGACTAATTAATATGCACTTGAACTTTCCTATTAGTAATCCGTTTTTTTCCTGATTATATATTTCGAGAATATGAAAAAAGTTTTTATCATGTTTCTTCTGACTATCATTTGACATTTTTACATTCATTTCTACTATTGTATCAATTACGCTTGATGTAATTTCATCACCACATCATATTTCGTCCATTTGTTTTACATTTCAAAAATTTTTATTTTTTTTTGAAACGCAATTTTACTTTAATATAATAATTACGGTACTGTGTATATATTTAAATTATTAACTGAATAAATTATTGACATTTTTTATTTCTCTTTTTTTTTTATCAAATTATTAATTAGTAAATAGCTCATTCTTTGTGAAAAATTTTTTTTTCTGAAATTATTCGTTACATAGCGTCTAAAAAATTACCAGGCCTAAATCCTTGACTTGTAAGCATCTGAAAGGTTACCAGGCCTAAATCCTTGACTTGTAAGCATCTGAAAGGTTATCAGGCCTAAATCCTTGACTTGTAAGCATCTGAAAGGTTATCAGGCTTAAATCCTTGACTTGTAAGCATCTGAAAGGTTATCAGGCTTAAATCCTTGACTTGTAAGCATCTGAAAGGTTATCAGGCTTAAATCCTTGACTTGTAAGCATCTGAAAGGTTATCAGGCCTAAATCCTTGACTTGTAAGCATCTGAAAGGTTATCAGGCTTAAATCCTTGACTTGTAAGCATCTGAAAGGTTATCAGGCTTAAATCCTTGACTTGTAAGCATCTGAAAGGTTATCAGGCTTAAATCCTTGACTTGTAAGCATCTGAAAGGTTATCAGGCTTAAATCCTTGACTTGTAAGCATCTGAAAGGTTATCAGGCTTAAATCCTTGACTTGTAAGCATCTGAAAGGTTATCAGGCTTAAATCCTTGACTTGTAAGCATCTGAAAGGTTATCAGGCCTAAATCCTTGACTTGTAAGCATCTGAAAGGTTATCAGGCCTAAATCCTTGACTTGTAAGCATCTGAAAGGTTATCAGGCTTAAATCCTTGACTTGTAAGCATCTGAAAGGTTATCAGGTCTTGCTTATCACTATGATAAATTATTACACGTTTCTTCTACGAAAAACCTATACACTTGTGCGATAGATACGTGTATGAAAAAAGAAAATTGAGATATATATATATAAAAACCCTTTTACCTTTTTTCAATCCTTACAATGCAATGTATACAATGCATGTTAAAGGTCACCAAGTGCTTAACTTTGCTATACAGGTGTGTTAAAGGTCACCAAGTGCTTAACTTTGCTATACAGGTGTGTTAAAGGTCACCAAGTGCTTAACTCTGCTATACAGGTATGTTAAGGAGATAAAGATAACTCTGATAACTTTGTTTGCAGCATTAGCATATTACGTTTTTTATTTCTAATATGTTTTAATTAAATTTATGAAATTCAATCGCATTATTTTTGACAAAAAAAAAAAAAATTTATTTCGTACGAGAGAATTTTAGATAACGATGAATAACTTCATCGAGAATATCGTAGTGATAACAAAATTGGTGCATTTAGGAAAGTGATAAGTTGTCATTTTTATACCAATTTGTCACCAATGCCGCATTCTAAAACTAGTATATCAAGTAATTTATTAACTGTAAAATCATTTTTTCCTTTTTTTCTTTTTTTTTTTTCATAAAACTTTCCAATTCTTATAATAAATGACAAGTTGATTAAATTAAATTTTGATTATTGATTACTCAATTAGAGTAAATATTTGACGATTCATTAATTTTTTAAACCTATCAACCAAATTTTTCTGTGTTTGAAAAAATTTCGGAAATTCTTTTTTTTTTTGTCACTGTTAGCATTTAATTTTTAAGTAGAAAAACTTTTAAAAAGTGTACTTGAAAAATATAAAAAAATGAAAAAAATCATAATTTTTTTTTAAAATATCTAATATGAAAATGACCTTTTTGCTAAAACTAAGCACCATTGAAGGACCATTTGAGCATTTCAACTCGTAGATACGGCCGTTATCGCACACCTTATAATCTAATTTCCCTCTATCAGTGCTATCACCAACTGAGCATGTGATAACTCCCAAAATAGTCCCTTTTTCATCGCCTAATTCGCTTTTACTATTTGATGTATAACTATGAATGGATCGTTCACTGCTGAAGTATAATAAAACTTTTTGATATATTATTTTAAAAAAAAGCAATAACGTATAACAAAAGTAATAACAAAGTTTATAGTAGCAATAAATAATAATAAGTAACAAAGACAATAATAATAATAACAAATAAAATAAACTTTTCGCTGCTTATAAAAACATGTCCAGTTTTTTTTGCGATGTGCTTCGATTCCGTTGCTTTCGGGAAAATGGGAATTGAATAGTGAATTTGACCATTTCGATCCACATAACCACGGGTATTGATTTCAGCATCGGTGATGTAGCTGAAATAAGATGAGAAAATTTTATAAATGAGTTATAATTTTTAAAAAATTAAATTTTTTTTTTGAAGTTTTTTAAAATATTTACAGTTAGACTAACAAATGATAAAAAATCAAATTAACTTTGTTATTTTCTGTTTAAATTAAATTTCAGTTCTGGGAAGTGAAAGAAATTTCTTTATTGAAGAAAAGCAATTTTGATACTTTTCAGCAGACGGATCCAGATTATTTACGCCATAATATGATCCACGTTGAATTCTTTCTTTTGATCTTTTTGTTTGACCACCGATCGATGACATTTTCCGTTTGCTATTGGTGTTCAAAAAGTTGTAAAAGAAATTTGCCAATAACATTAAACAAACAGTGCAAGAAAAATTCTTTGATTAAAATTAAAATTTGAATTTTTTAAAGTCTAAAAGTTTAATCGTAAAATGTTTATAGTAATAAAATTTGTAGTACTTTGAATTTTTATAACATTGTTTTAGTTGTAAAAAGAAGTTAATATATATATATATATATAAAATTAAATTACAAAGAAAAAAATTAATTTAAGAAAAACTTTTGCATTTTTTTCTTTTTGTTTTTTACTTTATAAGAAATATATGTATCTATATAAAAAATTTTACTTCATAAATCTATCATTTTATTTTTTAATTTAAAATAAAATGAGCAAGAAAAAATATCGAAGCAAACTAAGAAAGAAAGATTTAAAAAAAAATCGCAATTGCATCATTTTTATTTTTTTATTTTTTCATTAAAATAAGTACTTAATTTCATTATTTGTTAATCCCTTCTTTCGTAATTCCACTTCATCGAAATAATTTTTAGACTTTGAAAAAAAACCTTTCAAACGTTCACAACTTAGCTTTAATCGTTCACTACCTGATAAGCTGGCGCTTTTTCTTTTTAATCTAAACAATTTGATAATTTATTTATTAAAGTTTATCACATATATATTTTGAAATTGTTTGAATATTTTTGGAAAAAACGATGAAAATTATTAGCGTAAATTATTTCAGAAAAATTAAAAGAATTCCTTTTAGCTTCTAATATACATTTATTACATTATAATGAGATTTTCTATCTCACTTCTAATTTTTATCTGAATCATTTCCTTTTTTTTTTTTTGATATGATACAGGACGAGAAATAAAAAAACAATAATTTTGTACTTAAAATTCGAATTGTATTTTTTAGAGGAATTTTTTTAATTTAAACGTGAACATAACTTTTTATCTGATCCTGCTAACGTAATTGTCGTATCATCTGTTGATATTTCAGGCTTTTTTTTATTTCGCTGATTTGGCCAGAGTTCCTATGTTTGAAAAAAAATTTAATTATTTTATTTATTCTTAAAAATTGAAAAATCATTTTCCTTGTTTTTATTTGAATAACTTCGTTGCTTCTTCTTTTTCTAAATAATCTGATTATAACATTTGCTTAATTTTTTCGTTTTTAGTCTTTTTTTTACTGCAAATTACCCTGAAATTCAGTTTGCGTGCAGTTACAGCTTTATGATCGCCCATTTTAAAGCTTTAATAAACAAAAAATGATAAATAAATGAACTGAGTGACATATTTATGACGCGCAAAATGCATGCAAAGGAAAAAAATGCAATAATAATAATAACAGTTAAATAAATAATTTGTTTTATTTGTTATCAAATATTGTTGTTTTTTTTAAAAAAAAATTCCATAAAAATTAATTCATTGTATTATTGATAAAAATAAGTATTTGAATTAATACTAAGAATTAAAATTCATTACTTGTTGAAAAGCAAAACAATTGCAAATTAAATTTGCATAATTTTAGCAAATACAAAATTTCATCTAAAAAGCATACAATTATCAAAAATATTTATCCATTATTACTTTTCATTTCTGTAATGTGCTAAATAATTAGTGCTAAGAAAAAAAATTCTGAATCAGAAATTTATACAATAATGAATATCTGTAATGAAAATAATAGTTGGTAAAAAAAGTATTTATAAATTATAATTTATACATGATAAATGTCAAATAAATAAACTTATTATCTTTTAATATTATTTGAATTTCATCAAATTCTTTCATTGTTAAAGTTAGAAATAAATAAAAATTGAAATTAAGCATTAAAGAGAAATACTTTTTGCACATATTAAAAAAGGAAGGATAATTGTGACTACAAAAAACTAATTAAACATTTTTTAATAATTATGAAAATAAAACTTTATGAAATATAAAACGAAGACTGAATACATCAAAGAATTATTTCGAAAATAAAAAAGTTAGCAGCAATTTAGTTAGCAAAAAAAAAAAAAACAATTAGCAAGAATTAATTAAGCACAATATTTAAATAATTAAAGATAAATTAGGGTAATACTTGTAAAGTGACAAAAAATTTATTTTTATTTCATTTAATACTCAAAAAAAGAAAAGAAAAATTGAAGTGATAGAACACTTAACAAATAAGAATTTTAATGCAATATTAGCAAAAATTTTTCCTTTTTTTGAATAATTATTCTGATAGAAAATAAATTGCATACGTAGTAGTTGCAAACCGGATTAAAAAATAATTCCGGTTTAGTTGACGAATCACCATACACTAATATTTTCTTATTTAATATACATTTATTGTGTAACACATTTAAAGTCTTGAGCTAAAACGCAAAACTTTTCTTTTATTTTTAAATGATATTACTTTTTTTGTTTATTAGATTGAGCATTTACAATTAAATGCAATAATTTAAAAATTCAATTAGAAACAAAGAAAAAAAAAGTGCGAAATTATATGCAATAAAATGAATAAGAGAGAAATGCTAACAAAAATATTAATAAGAAAAATTTAAAAAGAATGATAATCAATTTATTCGGTAAATACACTTTTTTGTTAATTTTATAAATTAATGGAAATTTTTTTATAATGGAATGTGAACGAAAATAATTATTATTAAAATCGTTTTGGTTATTTTTATAATTTTAGCATGCTTACTTAGATAGCATTATCACCATGCTGAATTAATAATATTGTTGTAAAATTTATATCATTTAGCTCTACCCGATATAACCATTAATTGTTATCTTGGTATTACTATTATAGTTTTGATGAAAACATGATAATATATCACTCCTTCTGTACGCTTTGTATCTTATAGAGATTTTTGAAAAACTTTTAAATTCTTAGTAAAGATTAAATGCATTTGAAATTGTTAAAGATTCAAACATTTGAAAAAAACAAACGATAAACTATTGAAATTCTTAATGAGCATTAAAATCATTCGACGTTTGTTTCGGTAAATACATTTTACAGCAAACAATTAATAAAATAAAACAAAAAATTTTTATGAAAATGATTGAAATAACTAAATAAAATTAGAAAGAGTAGGCTAAAGAGTGAAAAATGCATCATCAATTATTTAATGCATTAATCTGAATTAACAAAAAAAAAAAAAAAAAATAGAAAAGGATTAAAATGAAATAAATCCATTGATATTGTCAACTCTTGTAATTTCAGTTACAATACTTCTTTGTTTGATAAAATAACTATTTATTTGTTAAAATAACTGATAGCAAGAATTATGATAATTGATAATATCTATATCTGTTGAATATGTTATGTTAACAATTTGATAATACTTATTAAGAAATGTTCACAAATAAATAAGTATTAACAGAAATGATAATATTTGAATTTTTATTAATAGAATAAAGTGAAAATAGCTAAAAATTTTGCTGTATATTTAGAGTATTTAAAAAGATTAAAAATTAAAATAAATGTAAAAAGATGAGGAAGAATTGTTGAATATGTGAATTATTGAACATATTTATCATATATAGCAGAGGAAATGATCAGCCTTTTTCTTCACGTGTATTCCACGTTGACGTGTAAAATTTACGTATCATTTCAAAGACTACAGTACTACATTTACTTTATTATTTTTGTTCTATAATCGAAGTATTTGCGCTAATTATCATTATATCATTTATATAGCACTTGATAACACAGAGTCCACTCCACTTATCACTTATCAGTGTGTCAACATGCTTTGGAATTTCGATGATAACATCTTCTCTTCTAACTGCATATATAGTTTATTCTGAATCTCAAACTTAGTTTGCACACATCCCCAAATGCTACACTGTTTTTCTAAATATTCGTTTATTTATGCAATTTAATTCACTAAAATTATCAATAATAAAACATATTTGTAAATGGAGTGTTACTTACAAATAAGTAACATTGTTAACTATGAAATTATGACAATAAATAATTTGTTGTTATCATTTTTTTCTATGATATTTATTTAGCTCATTTTTTTTCCTTTTTTTTCTTTTATCACCAATTAATTTGTTTTAAATTTCACTAAAAGTTATAAATAAAAATTACTTAGCTATTATATAATACATTCATTCATTTATAATTGCAAAGTGATATTACCCTAAGAAAACAATATCACAAGTTAAACTAATACTAACAACTTTTTATCACATTTATGTCAACAAACTATTCACTTTCACTAAATGTTATCAGTAGCAGTAATCAAAACTCATCACATTCCTTTTTGACATTTTATGCACAACAATTTTAACTTTCTTATCAAAATAAAATGGCAAAATGAGTGTAAAAAGAAAAGGAAGAGAGAGATGGATAGAGAGAGAGAGGGAGTTAAGGAAAGAAAGAGTTTAATTTATAAAGGATAAAAAGTGAGCTTATAAAAAAAAGTTTAGCAATTTATTTTTGTTTTTTTTATTAATAAAAAAAATTGCTATATAATCATTGAAGAAATGGTCAGTTCTTAGTACAAATATTTTCATATTTCACCCATCAATAAAATAAAAAATTCATTACAGCAATGAAAGCAATTCATAATTGCTTATATAACTGATAATATCATAGCCAATTTAAAACTTTTGGTAATCTGGATTATTGCTATTAGCAATCAATGCATTAGTCTAAGGATTCATTATAATATTTTTATATTTTCTCATTTTCTTTTCAAATTATACAAATCAATAATTATCTTTTAAGTAGTTAATTATTACAGATAATTACATCCAAATAAATTAATTTTATAAATTAAAAATGAATAGAGCTGCAAAATATGACAGATGCTTCTAAATGTTCTCCCTGCGAGTGGTAATTTGATAAAATTGAGTTGAAGTGTGTCAGTGGAACAGCGATGGGTGGTAGTGCGGGAAGGGAAAGGTAAGGGAATGGGCAGGGGAAAGGTGTGGGTAAGGAGTCTGAGAAGTAAAAGGGGGAATGGTTCTAGCATTGGTTAGTTTTTGATGATATATTAATTGAATTCTAACAAATGTGAG